ATATATTTTATAAAAATTTGATATTTGAAAACTATATTATTCCTGATAGAATTTGGGATGAGTATAAACAACTAGATTGGGTAATAAGATACTTGAGTTGAACCAGATTAAAAGATTGAATCCAAACGATTAGTTAGTTCAACTCAAGAGCTTATATACTGATCTTTTTGCTCTTGAACTTACGATGTGGGATGACACTCTAACAATTCCAAAATGAATATATTTATATTAAAGTTATATCATAATACAATGTATTTTTTCTACGTATCATAGTTAAAGTTTATAAACATTGACCAAGAAAAGTCAAATGAGAAGAATATTTCCAAGACGGATGGAGTATGTATTTTCTTTTGAGTTTTGCTTGGTAATCAGTTTAACTAAAAACCTCAATCAAATTGTGATTGATAATTTATAAATGTTCAGACAAAGTATATTCTGTTAAGAAAAATATGAATTGTTCATTTATCAATTAATTAGGTCATGCTCCATCATAAGTTGCAGGAACAAATTGTCCATCATCATTCATCACCATCAAGTTGTCATTTGTATAGTATGTATACTATTTGTAATAGTGTTAGCACTAAGCCTATCTACTATAAATAAGAGGCTTAGGATCCCTGTAAATTACCATTAAGAATAAGAAGAAGAGTGAAGAGTTAATAGAAAGAAGAAATCAGAAATATATTATATCTATTCTCATAATCTCTGAGTAGTTTTTCTCTCATTTTACAACACGTTATCAGCACGAATTTTGCTCAAAATCCCAAAATCCTTGTTCTTCTCAGAAGATATGGAGATAACTGCTTATGGCTCCAGTGGCAAAGAACAATGTCTAATTGACAGTGCCACAACGCACACCATTTTGAGAAACAAAGAATATTTTTCTCAAATGACATTGATGGAAACTAATGTCAATACAATCTCTGGTGTTGCGAAGCTCATTGAAGGGTCTGGAATAGCTTGTTTAATCCTTCCCCAAGGAACAAAATTAATTATCAAAGACGCATTATATTCCNATCCAGAGCGAGTGCGGTATAGAAACAATTACTAGTCATCCGACTCCTATATATGAAGACAACACTGCATGCATTGCTCAAGTGAAAGGAGGTTACATCAAAGGAGACCGAACAAAACATATATCACCAAAGTTCTTCTCAACACATGATCTCGAGAAAGATGGAAAGGTTGACATCAAGCAAATCAAGTCGAGCGAGAACCCTGCTGATCTATTTACAAAAGCATTGCCTCCGAATAAATTTGAAGAACTCGTACACAAGATTGACATGCGTCGTCTCTGTCAATTATGCTAAGCTGAGGGGGAGAATTTTATGAACTGTACTCTTTTTCCATTGATCAGGTTTTTATCCCACTGGATTTTTCCTGACAAGGTTTTTAACGAGGCAGTACATAAAATTAGAATGAGTTTCTAAACTATACCCATTTCACGAATATCCATCATCAATTGAAAAATGAACATTCAAGGGGGAGTGTTAAGAAAAATATGAATTGTTCATTTATCAATTAATTAGGTCATGCTCCATCATAAGTTGCAGGAACAAATTGTCCATCATCATTCATCACCATCAAGTTGTCATTTGTATAGTATGTATACTATTTGTAATAGTGTTAGCACTAAGCCTATCTACTATAAATAAGAGGCTTAGGATCCCTGTAAATTACCATTAAGAATAAGAAGAAGAGTGAAGAGTTAATAGAAAGAAGAAATCAGAAATATATTATATCTATTCTCATAATCTCTGAGTAGTTTTTCTCTCATTTTACAACATATTCAGTATTTCAAAAAAGGCGACAGTAAAATTTAAACTCATACTCCCTAAGTCTTTAATATATTGGGTGGGGTTCTAATGACACTGGAAAACGGTGCCACTGGGTTTTTGGGGCACCTCCGGTGCTCCGTTCGTAAAATTTACGGTTCCTACCTCCCCTAACCCACCCCTAAACCCCCCACCCTACCCCCACCCCTGCACCCCCACCCCTGCACCCCCACCCCTGCACCCCGCTGTAAGCCCCCCACAAAATGTGTGGCTATTATGCATTGCATAATAGCCACACATTTTGTGGGGGGCTTACGGCGGGGTGGGGGTGGGGGTGCAGGGGTGGGGGTAGGGTGGAGGGTTTAGGGATGGGTTATGGGGGGAGGTATGAACCGTCAATTTTACGAACGGAGCACCGGAGGTACCCCAAAAACCTAGTGGCACCGGAGTGGCACCGTTCTCCGGTGTCACTAGAACCGGACCGATATATATTTAATACGAGTATTGTATATTACTCCGGATAAATATGGTTGTTACGGAGTACTATTTATAGTTAAAGTTATTATTATAAAGTACTCCTTTCGTTCCTTAAAACAGTTCTTTTATTTTTTCAATTTTCCAAAAACACTTCCATTTTTGTAAAAAAATGGCTAATATATCTAAATTAAGTTTTTACAATATACTCCATTCAATTTGCATTGATATAATAAGTCATTTAAATGATTTGTCTCTTTTTTTTCTTCGATAATAAGAATATAATTAGAAGGTCAAACTATGAAATTAAATCTCTCCCAAGTCAAAACAGGAACTGTTTTAGGGAACGGAGGAGGCATTACTTTAAATTACTCCCTCCGTCCCAAAAAAAATTTCCTACTTTGATTAACGTGCAAAACCCCGTGGATTTTAAAATGATTTTATTTACAAATTGGTAAGGAAATAAGACATAAAAAATTTATACTCCCTCCGTTCTTAAAAACACTTCCTATTTCATTTTTTTCACTTCCAACAAAACACTTCCACTTTCTATTAAAAAACCACTTTTACCTTTACTTTTTCATACCCTACCTATCACATCATACTTTTTTTCTCTAATAATCTATCCATCACATCTTACTTTTACCCATCACATCAGGGTCAAAATTGGAAGTCAACTATAATTTAACACTTCCTTATTTTTGTTCAAAGTCAAAATAGGAAGTCTTTTTGCAAACGGAGGGAGTATTTAAAAACTACATCGGAAACGACTCTACAAGATAAGATTTGACAAGAATATTTTATTTTGTGAAATTATCAATGAAAACACCCAAACAAATTAGAGTTATCGAGAGACCGTAGTAGTATACAGGAAAGGCTTTTTAAGACGGAGGGAGTACTAGTGACTAATGTGTAGCATACTAGAATATATTTTTTCGCCAATAAATTAAATACATGCATTATGCCTTGTATGCTTGTATTTCTCTCTTATTCATTCATGTATTAGTGCAAATTTTACTTATTATTTTACACCAACAAAACTCTAATACAACATTAACGATCCAAACACTAATGTGTACTGTACTCTATCTCAATGAAACAGATTAGTACTATATATTATTTCCTCGGCCCAAATTAAGTGACATGTTTATTATTAACTGGATTAAATTTCATTCATTTTCTTTTTTTATATTTTTGTTACTTATTTGATAAAATAATAGTCATGTCAGCTCCTGTTTTGTAGAGCTTTTGATATAATTTTTTAAGACGTTAAATTTATTTTTTAATTCCGATCCAGTTTTCAAATAAATTACATTAGAAATAACATTAGTCAAACATTCTAAATCAAAATATGTAATTTGAATTGGGACGGAGGGAGTACAACGTGACAAGCCAAGTGTATTTATCAAGTTGATCAACTTGCTCAAGTCAAATGTAATAACATTGATTTCATTAAATTACTAGTAGTTTTTTAGTTATTCAAAACTTTCAAATTTTTATTATACTGTATTAATATGCAATAAAATAGAGCGTCATTAAGTCCAAAACGGGTGAAAATATGCTTTAATCATTTTATTTATTTATTTATTCATTCATTCAGTGTTAAATTTAATTAATTTATTTAATCATTAAGTCATTTAAAGAAATGACTTAAGTTTTAGTGTTATATAGTACAAATATTTCTTCAGTCATTCATTCATTTATTTATTTAGTTTTGTCGAGGTCCTGTGGCATTACTCGATCAAACTGCTCATAAGTGATAACTGATAATGCACCAACTAATAACTGTAAACGTATGCATTTTCCAAGCACTTCAAGTGATGCTAATAAATACACTAACCCATATCCAATCTATCTAATATTCTACTCCCTCCGTTTTTCAGTTTGTTTGAAAATAACGTTAGAGATTAACGTTAGTATTTTAAAAAGACTATCTACGGACAGCGTTTAGCGTTAGTATTTTCAATAATCTACACCGTTAAAATCTTATCCAAAACGCTAATGTTAATCTCTAACGCTAGTCCCAATTAAACCCTTTATAAACAATTCCTATTTTGATTTGGGAGCAAATTTATTTTTGTAGTTTGTATTTCTAATTATACGTTTGATATTGAAGAAAAAAGATATACGAATTATTTAAATAAATTATTATATCAATACAAATTGAGTGAAGTATATTACAACGACTTTATTTGAATATATTAGTCATTTTTAACAAAAATGAAAGTGTTTTGGAGAAAACGAAAAAATGAAAGAAGAACTATTTTAAAAAATACAGAGAGTAATAAATTAATTAATTAATAAAGTGTAATAACTTCTCCCTTAGTCCCATATTTTTCTTCCCAGAGTACTATTCTAACTTCACGAAGATTTATATTTATTTATGTTTTTTCATGGCTTATATGATAAAATATAGCAGTCTTGTTGTCACTTATTTTGTTGAAGTTTTGATGTAGTTTTTAAATATAAAAGTTTTATTTCTTATACCAATATTTAAATAAAATAGATTGAAAAAATTTGGAATTTTTCTTCGTTTTGCGCATCGGGAAGAAAAATATAGGACAAAGTGGTAAATAAAATATTCTTCCACTCCGTTCAGTACATGGAATAGTTCAGTTTTGACTTATTTCGGTTAATCATTTTCAATTTTTGACTTATAATTAAGTAAAGTATATAGTGTATATTAATTAAATAAAATAATACTTAAAAATTATTCTATATAATAAATCTAATAAAACTATTTTTGTATCAATCATTTTTTTAGCCTGGGATCAAAATTTAGTAATTACTAGGTTAATTTTTTTTATTAAAAAGAGTAGTGAGGGAGTTTATTATTGAATTGATGGTTGATATAAATATAGTGTATGGGTTCGATCACAAACTCCGTGCATATCTCTCAACACACTTTCTTTTTAGCTCCGTACAAAGCTGTGTTCTCGCCGGCAAAATGCAAGCAGTGACAAACAGTCAGCGGCAGTTGCCGCCGGCGGCCATTTTTAGCTGCCGGAGAAGTTACCGTCCCGTTTCTCCGTTTTCTGCCCGTCCGTTGCTTCAGGTCATCACTTGCTCACTCCGATCTCCGCCCGGTAACCTTTTCAACTCCCCCCAATATATATTTCGAACAAATTCAAGCTTTGATATACGAGTATATATTTTGAAAAACAATTTTTAATGACATTTTTTTAATTTAACTTTTTTTCATAAATTGTGATTATTTCTACTAATACGAATTCTAATTTACAGACACGACGAACGAGGCGAAGTTTATTGAGAAAGCTAAAAGCGGGAATTTGATCCCGCTCCACAAGTGCATCTTCTCCGACCATTTAACTCCAGTACTCGCCTATCGTTGTTTGGTCGGAGAAGATGACCGTGAAACTCCGAGCTTTCTGTTCGAGTCGGTCGAGCCCGGTTCTCGAACCTCCACCGTGGTAATACTAACTATTGCGACAATTGCCACCTGATTCAAAGTTAATCTGTACCTTTGAAAAATTATTCAAAATGATAACATTTATTGTAAGCAAATGGTTCCGAGCAAGGCCATAACAAATCCTTGCTTGGGTGTTAAATAAAATTAAACATCCCTAAATGATCATTTTTGTTGGTGTTTAGGGACGGTATAGCGTGGTCGGTGCCGACCCGACAATGGAGATTGTGGCCAAAGAGAAAAAGGTGACGATACTGGATCACGAGGCCGGGAAAATGACGGAGGTGGTGGAGGAGGATCCGATGACGGTGGCGAGGAGTATTTCTGAAGAATGGAATCCGCGGTTAATCAGTGACCTACCTGATTCTTTTTGTGGTAAGATTTTCAATCCCCCCTTCCATTTTCATCGTCTATCTCAAAAAGAAATCCGTGAGTGTTTGTTCCAAAACGAACAATATCTTTACGTGGTCCCAACACTTCACAAGAAAGTGTTAACCTTGACAAGTCACAAATATCTTGCTCGCCAAATATTATTGTCGATTAGTGTCTCTCTCACTCTTTATCTAAAATATCACAAACTAAATTTCCATCTAGAATTCTAAAAGACTAGAAATGCTATTAGGCTCCGTTTGGTACACGAAATTCAAGTCATTGAATTAGAATTCTAAACTTCAATTCCAATTTTGTTGCTTGGTAACACAAAAATATGTAATTTTGGAATTAGTAGTGTAAAAAATGAATTGAAATAAGAGAACTCTATTCGATTCAATTTTATAGAATTTTGATTTTCAATTTTGTCCGATCAGCATACTAGACGGACCCTTAGACTCATCACATACATTGAAAGACAAATGAACGTGGACATGCGTCAACTCCAAATTCATTCAATTTTTTATGCATGCATAAAATAAATAACGGCCGAAAAGGATGGAGCGAGCATGTCTCCGGTGATCTGCCGCCGTGCCGGCGGGGAAGCAGCCAGGAATAATTGAAAGTAAATGCGATGTTAGATTTTCAACCACCAAAAGGACGACAACTAATAATAGTGTGTAAATACACCTTAGCCTTTTGTACTTCCACTACTGCATGACCCAACTCTGATGGCACCTTAAATCCTACCATGCATGCATTTATTCGAGTATAAAAGTCGAGCATGCAACTACGAGCTTGAGCTTTTCTTTGAATTACGTTACACTCTGGTTTCTGCAATTTGGTTGGGGAGCTGCAGTAATGTTTTTTTGGTTGGTTCAATAGAATGAAAGCAGCGCACCCATTGATACGAATATCGTATCGGATAGGGACGAACTAACTTCGAGTTTCACCGGACTCCAAGAAAGGGGCCGGGGGGCAAAGAGAGAAGGAAAACTTCGAGCGTTTCCGAGCTCCAAAGAATGACGAGATTAAGAGTAATTTTTGTATACTGATTGATTGAGTGAGAAATAGGTTACATCACTCTTTACAGAAGATAGCGAAACCCAAATGCGAACCCTAGTTAACCTAATAGGCTCGGGACCATACTAAAAGGTAAAACCCTAAACAAGATTAACTTTTGAATGCCAAATAATTACTAATCCATAATTAATAAATAATACAACTAATCTACTATCACTGTCACTTTGACATTATATCAAAGCTTTGCTGATCAAGATGTTACGAATTCAAATCTAATCGTCACACAACTTTATAAAAAATAATATTCACGTGCAAGGATTGAGGAAACAAAAATCTCCTATACAACTACAAGTATTTTTTTTAATTTCAACATATTTTTAACACTCGGTTTTTTGTAATCTATATGAAATGAAAGTGGAAAAACAACATAATTATGATACTATAATTATTAATGACAAAAATAAATGAAATAAACAGGTGGATGGGTGGGATATTTCTCATACGACACCGTTCGTTACGTGGAGAAGAAGAGGTTGCCGTTTTCAAAGGCACCGCCAGACGACAGGAACCTCCCTGATATTCATTTGGGACTTTATGACGACGTGATCGTTTTTGACCACGTGGATAAGGTATTTTATTTTAAATCACTTATTCTTTTTATTTTTTAATGAAATAATAGAAGTGAGAATTTATTTCAAGACGGCGGATAAAAAAAATGTAATAGGTGTTTTTCTGTGTTGGTCCTTATTGCTAATAAGATGTTTATAAGTTAAATATTCTTTCGTGGAAGTAAAATGACTTAAATAACAGATAAATCATTCGTAAATATTTATAAATGGTGAGGGATAATTTTGTAAATAATCTGGTCAAAATGGAGAAACGAAAAAATTGACTCAAAAATAATTAGCTAAGACCTACATATTTTAATGGCTTAGAAGTCAGCTTATAAGCACACAAAAACATGTCATCAGCTGACTTATAAGTTAAAACTATTTATAAGCAATTTTGAGTTTGACCAGCTTATAAGTACCGAAAAACATCCATGTAGCTTTTTTGGGAGGTCGCCACTCTTTTATGGTTTAAATATTGAACAAATTAAAGTACTCTTCCATTTATTTTACATTTTTTTCAAAACAAAATAAAATTTTAAAGTTTTAAAATTTGTTTTATTTAAAGATTGGTATATAAATTAAAAATAAATTTTATATACTTAAATATATTACATCAAAAGTTTTACAAAACAAAATGTAACAAGAATATTATGTTTTATTTAATAATCAATCAAACGCAGAAACACACAAAAATTTCTGTAACTTTTGAATAGTGAAGAATGTAATTCTTTTTGGGATGGAAATTGTATTACAAAAATCAATATAAGGTTTATATATTTTTATTTGAAATAAACATTGTAATATTAAAATTATTGTAATCACAATTTAGTATTATTGTTGGTATTATAGAAGGCACATATTATTCATTGGGTGCGGTTGGATCGTTACTCGTCAGCCTCAAAGGCTTATCGTGAGGGCAAGAAACGACTAGACACACTTGTCTCCAAACTACAAGACACTAACTTGTGAGAAATTCTCCATCATTTCTTCTTCCTGAGTCTTCAAAAAATAACGTCAAAAATAAAGAAATTACTTTTCTTTAAAATGAAATTAATAAATTTTCTCTTTTCATATATATAGTCCGAGACTCACGATGGCCTCGGTGGATTTCGACACTCGTGAGTTCGGACCCTCGCTAACCAATGGGAGCATGACGAGTGGAGAGTACAAGGATGCTGTCCTACAAGCTAAGGAACACATTCTTGCAGGGGACATTTTTCAGATTGTTTTGAGCCAACGTTTTGAGAGGAGGACATTTGCTGACCCCTTTGAGGTTTATAGGGCACTAAGGGTTGTGAACCCAAGCCCTTACATGACTTACATGCAGGCCAGAGGGTGCATTTTGGTTGCTTCCAGCCCAGAAATTCTAACCAGGGTTAAAAAGGTTTGATTATTATTGATTACTCCCTTTTTTATAAGAGCCTTATGTTTTTCACTTTAATTTTAACAGAAAACTAGAGTTTTAATTCTCATAACTAAAGTCTAAAGATTAGGAACTAGAATCTGGAACCTAGTATTGGAATCTGGTAACTTGAATAATTGGAATAAAAAGTCAAAAAGAACAACATAAATCTTGTCACAGGCATAATAATCAGATAGTGAACTTCCATGTTTAACAGAATAGACAGGTGGTGAACCGGCCATTGGCGGGGACGTCTAAACGAGGGAAGACCCATGAAGAGGATATAATGTTAGAGATGTTACTTTTGAACGACGAAAAAGAACGCGCAGAGCATACCATGCTTGTGGATTTAGGGCGAAACGATGTTGGAAAGGTTTGTATCTTCGACATCCCAAAACAAAAAGAACAGACAACAAAAAAGATATGTAATGTCTTAACTTTGATGCAATTCATGTAGGTGTCAAAACCTGGTTCAGTGAATGTGGAGAGGCTTATGGATATTGAGCGATATTCGCACGTAATGCACATCAGCTCAACGGTGAGTATATCATGTACTAAATGTTGGGTCAAAAAATTTCTGTAACAGACATCTAGCAGCACATTGCCAGAACATGACCATAAATATGTGCACAATTTTTTTTGGGCAGGTTACAGGGGAACTTCTTGATCATTTGACTTGTTGGGATGCATTGCGTGCGGCGTTGCCCGTTGGGACAGTTAGTGGGGCACCAAAGGTCTAAACTCTTACAGTCTTAACCTATTTTTAATACCTAAGAAGAACATTCAATTCAAGAAAAACACAGAAGACGAAACATGTTTGTGAAAATAAAAAACACATTTAGATAAAATGGAAGATATAGCATCACCCAGTTGCATGCGCCCTAACATCAAATCAAACAATACAGGTGAAGGCGATGGAGCTAATTGATCGACTCGAAGCAACTAGAAGGGGACCTTATAGCGGTGGATTTGGGGGCATTTCGTTCTTAGGAGAGATGGACATTGCATTGGCTCTAAGGACAATAGTGTTCCCTAATGGCAGGTCCCACAACGATACGTATGGTAGATCTCAAGAATGGATTGCCCATCTCCAATCCGGAGCCGGTATTGTAGCTGATAGCAACCCTGATAGTGAGCACAAAGAATGTGAAAACAAGGTTGCTGGTCTTAGCCGCGCCATTGACTTGGCAGAAACGGCTTTTGTAAAGACAAAACCAAAGCTATCGCCAGTCCATTTATACACTCCGCCACTGAATCATCGGCAAAGGACAACATCAATGTTTCTTTGAACACAAGTGGCAACTTGTGCCATTTATCCATACTATGCAAGGATAATATGGTTTAGCTTGAATCTCTTTTCCACTTTCCTACGTACCCAAAGTCGGTTGTGCAGCTTGTTTTCACATTGTTCATGGGTAAATATAGGTCATGTAAAATGTAACAAATTCATTATTGTAAATTCAAAAAAGGTATACATTATTCAATATGTGAACATTGTTTTTTAAAGAAATGATAATACAATACTTTACCAGTTTACCATCTTACAGTTTGTGTTTGATGTTCAATGGTTAAAGTGACTTTTCCATCTACCCTGCCGTATTACTTAATGGTGATTTTGGGACTTGAAAAAGTTTCAAAGTGAATAGAAGGCCCAATATCTTTGAGCCGGTTCGAGTTGTGAATATTTTGAGTTCAAGCTAGACTCGGTTGGGGTGGGGGGGGGGGGGGGGGGGAATGCCTTATTTGTTTTGTTTTAGTATTTTCAAAAGAAAACTATTGTGTTCACTTTTCACCTCGTACGTTTTGGAGTCACCTAAATAGTTCCTTTGTCACTTGAAACTTTGAATTTGAGTAGCTGAAGCATGCAAGTCAAGAAAGAAAGTAACCAATCTGGCATGAATAATTTTGATTCCATGTAATGCTCATTTTTGAAGTGGTCAACCACTAGTGTGAAGACAATGCTTCAAAGGTCATTGTTTTCACCCACAAGAAAGACATGAGCAAGAAATAATGTTGTCGCTGCTTTAAGGAAAGAAATCATGGAAAAAAAAGAAACTACAAAATTTACTCGGCAAATGTTTGGTCTACGAATATTTAACTATTGTTTCATATCCGCCCTCGGATATCCATCCACCAAGGCAACTCTAAGTGCATCAAGAATAAACTCGTCGGGCAATCTGTTACTTACACAAAGAATCTTTTGCCTAAGTTGGCATTAGATCCTAAATTTTTCATGTCCAACTAATCAAATAAGATGTTATAAGAAAAAAAGCCTAAAACTTTTTGCTAAAATTCAATTCCTGCTTATCAATCTAAAGAATATCATTAATCTTGTCTGATCACGGTCACTCTTTCCACTCAATTAAAATCTTGAGAAAGTAAATCCATGAAAGTAAATCTGTTTCGATACCCCATTGGCAGTTCATTACAGTATAATTGGAGTTCAAACTGTGAAATATACTCTCATTTAGCACACATTTTGCAATCACATACATACAACTCTCACAAGAACAGAGAAACAACACACATTATACACAGAGAACAATAAGAACAGAAGCAATTCCAAGCTCAGGAAGATCAAATATGGAGAGGGGTTTTAGAAAAAAAGGAACAACCGAAATTATAGTTGAATTGGATTATTTGGGGTTATCGTAATTGAGGATCTCGTTGTCAGTAACTGACCTGGAATGCTGAACTATGGATCGCCCGATCGAATTGATCCAATCCTCCTTCTCCTTCTCGGAATCGGCGATGAAGTACATGGTGAGGGAGCTGGTGGAGAGCTCGAAGGCGAACTGCTTGTTCACCACGTCCTCCGCGCCCTTCACGGTGAGGCAGGTGGCGACGGGGATAACGCCGCGGGGGCGCGATTCGCGGGTGATGCTGGACTCCTTGAACCAGAATAGCTTCCCCTGCTTCAGGACGAACCACCGGCGCCGCCACGTCTTGATGTACTCGCCCTGCTTCGTCAGCCACCCGGTCCGCTCGGGGTTCGACCAGTACTGGACCCCGCCGTAGTCCTCGCTCGATTCCGACGGGCCGCCGACCACCGCTTGCCACAGGCTCAACATGTCGTACGCCGCCCGAGGCCTGAATTGGAATGGGGTGGGGGGATCCTACAGAGGAATTCCGAGAGATGAAGGAGATCCAATGCGATCAGATGAGGACGACCATGTGGCGCGCTGAATGTGAGACAGGTATGTATAATTGTCTATTTTTTAAAATCATTTTATTTATAATTTGGTATATTGATAAAAAATAAAATTACATGCTAAAAAATTATATCAAAATCTATACAAAACAAAATGTGATGAGAATATTTTATTTTATCCAATAAATAATAAAAACACACAAATAAACATAGGTTATCGAAAGGAGAAAAAAAAACTGTAATCAAAATTAGGACGGGGGAAGTATTTTTTTCATTATATATAATATTGATATATGCTCATAAATACAATATATACATTCTATATAAACATAATGATTATAGTACACTCCATTATACTCCGTATAATTTTTAATAAATATACATATATTGTGTAATGTACATATTTTAAATACAGAGGAATTATAGAGTTACACCGTCCCAAATAGTGTAACTTCGTGACACAATTTCAATTCGGACAACACTTAAAAATTTACTCAAAATTTTAACCCACAAAGGCAATAAAATTTATGAGGTGCGATTGTGAGGGATAGGAGGGACGTGAGGGGGTGAAATCAGAAGTAGGGGTTTATGAAAAGATTATGAGAGATAAAATCGTCATTTGCTATAGGTTTTTACATGGTGTAATTCTATAATTCTTCTTAAAAATATGAAATGAGTATTTTGTCATTTGAAAGTGAATACTTATATAAAATACACTACATTTTGATATACAATATATGGGCTAGCTTTTTGACATTATTTTGATAGCATAGTTTCTTACAAATACACATAGATAACACTAGATAACACCTGAAAAAATTTATCCTAATTATGAAAAACATGTAAAATATTTTTACTCCATTATTTTGATTACTTCCATTGTTTAATCATCTTGCATTACTATTTATGATCAAATTTTTTCTTTCTATATTAATTTTTAAATTTATTACTACGTAAAATAATATAGTTATGTTACTTTTGTTTTATAAACAAATTAATGTAGTGTTTTAATCTAAGAGGTAAAAAAGTTATTTTAAATTTTATAAATAAATCATTATTAAAATAAATTAAATTAAAAATGAATTCAGTCCTCTATAGATCATATATATATGTGGAGTAATTTAGAATGAGAAAATTAATTTGGAACGAGGGAGTATTATGGTTGTATTTGAAATTTGAGAAATGGAGGAGCCAATAAAGTCACAAAAGCTACAAAATTATAATTTGTGAATTTTACTTTTTAGTTTATAAATTATTTGAGATCATCTTATTCTTTTACTGAGATGATGATTAACAAGTGTATAAATTTTGTAGTTTTTTGTTTGTATCCGTAGCATCTCTCTTGAAATGTTGACTTGCTTAGGTATTTTATTGTTTGGCCCATAATAAATTTAGGTGTTTAACTTCACTAAAAGCTTTTTTTTTGTGCTATACATTTTTTTTGTGTCTACACTTGTACTACTTGTGTAGTTTAGTTTAAAACAAAGATGTAAATTAAAAAGATTGATTTATACTCCGTATCATAAAAATAATGGAAAATATCTTTCTTAAACATGTTTTCACTATAATATAAATTCACAATTTTTGTCGAAGTATGTTAATTAAAAACATCACTTGAAATTTCAATTTCATCCCCTAGGTTATATTCTTCTCAACTTATTATTTTTACTAATGACTTATTCTTATTGGAATTAGAAAGCAGATCAGGTCAAAAATAACGTTAAATATAACTACATTCAGATCAGACTAGATCAAAACTTATTCCAAATTTCCAATCAAATAGGAAGAATCAATTAATGAGAAAGGCCTAAAAGTACATTCGCACATTCCAAGGAGGTAAAAAACTAAACATTGACAGAATTTAATACTGGGAGTCCGTTTTTCCTTGGCACATTTCGGAGAGATAAAGAAGTAAATGTTAACATAATTTTAACACCGTTAATCTATTTGAAAGTTGGTTTGGAGGAGAGGGCTAAGTGTGTATATCTTGATATATATATATATATATATATATATATATATATATATGATTTTACAAAAAACTCCATTTATTCGTGTTTGGTACTCCCTCCGTCCTAAATTATAATGCATGTTTACTATTTACAAGGTCAAACTTTATTCACTTTCTTTCTCTATTTTCGTTAGCAATTTGATAAAATAAAGTATTATTATCACTACTAGTTTTGTAGATCTTTTGATGTAGTATTTTAATATGTAATTTTTATTTTTTAATTATATTCCATTTGTCATATAAAATGATTTGAAAATAATTTCAGTTTGATTGTCAAACTGAACACATTTTGATCATCAATTATGTAAAAACAACATTGCATCTCATTACAAAAACAATGTCATTAGTTTTTTCTTTCCAAAAATTGTTTTCATTGTACTTCCTTCATCCCATTTTATAACATCTGTTTCAATTTACGATGTTTGACTGAAATTATTTTCAAATCATTTTATATGACAAATGGTATAGAGTTAAAAAATAAAAATTACATATTAAAATATTATATTAAAAGATCTACAAAACTAGTAGTGACAATAGTACTTTATTTTATCAAATTGCTAACAAAAATAAAGAAAGAAAGTGAATGAAGTTTGACCTAGTAAATAGTGAACATGCATTATAATTTGGGACAGAGGGAGTATTATTCTGCAATACAATTTTCAATTAATTGTTAATTAAAATTTATCTAGTTTGATTAGAAAAATTCAAACTGAACAAATACCCTGAGACAGAGAATCGGAGATAGTAACATAAAACTGGATTAGGGTTTCTAATTGATAATACAGAAGCTCTAACTACAAAAGCTACCTAGTTCATGTTTTTCATAACTCCGGCGAGTTAACATCCACATAATTCCCCTCCAAAACACAATATAAATAATAATGTCCATCTCTCATGGTGATCTACTGCTTAGGGAATTAACGTTACCTACTACGGGTGCTGGTCGGAGATCGGGGCCCGCCTCTGTCGCCACTGCTGACATCATCGACACAAAGGGCGTTGTTATTAACACTCACTTCAGAACTAGCATTACTGCTAGTTGCAAGTGGTGAATCAGAAACACTCACTGTCCTGCTCCTACTGTGACCTGATCTCACACTGTACATCGATGATGCTGGAATATTCGTCATTAATGGCCTTAGGTTGCCAGGAACTGTTCGCCGTATATCCTGCCAAAGAAAGAAATTTGAGAAAATATTACGCTACTCCGTTACTAGATGGCTTTGGGTAACACTTTTGTTCTCTCTTTTAGGTCTTTGGTTTCAGTTTTCTGAAAAGAGGAACAAGAAAACAAGTTTGTTTGGCATCTGAGTTTTTGTTTTCAATCTCTGCAAACTAAAAAAAGGACTTTCCATTGTCTGTATGGAGGTTTTGGGGTTTTGACTACTATAAGTAAAAGTTCTAGTTGGTCAAGGTACAACTTTAAAATTTTGGCAATGTACAACTGTCATCCGCATTGATGAAATCCTACTCACATTTTAAAATTTTATTTGTTGGTTTTGTACTCAACTTGTTTATTAACATTTTTGGCAAATAACTTTAAAAACAGGACTCATTTGATGAAATATGACAGTTTTTTGGGACAAAGAATTGAGACATTATTTTTATTTGGAATACACATAGTATAAACTAGTAAAACTACTACATGTCTAAAAAAACTTCTAAATTTGTTAACATTAATAAAATTTTTAAACCATACCAAAAACAGATTTTTAGAAAGAAAAGACACAGAGTGTTACCATATGGCTCCTTAAGATTCATTCTAGGGTTTTATAAATCAGTGGTTCATGTAGCTGACCCCAGGTTGCTTGGGATAAAGCTTTTTTTTGTATAAATTAGTAGATATAAAAGCAAGTCCATACCATGTGCCTCATAGCCATATCCAAAGACTTCTTCGACAGTGTTCTTCCAAACCCTGTGCTGTCAGGTGAGGAAGACTTGGCAGACAAATTACTACTCGGTGAGTGTTTGTTACTATCTTGTCTAGGAGGAGCAAGCTTTCGCATATTTATCACTCTCTCAACCATCTTATTCCCCATCGCGACCGGGCTCACGTTGTCATTAGCTTTGGCATGCAACCTGCTCATAGCTGGAACAGGAACTGAGCTTCCACTGTTATGAATAATGCCGTTAGGAGGGCGTCCTCTTGATGGAGAACATGATTGCCGTCTACCTCTTCCATTTACAGAAGGATCAATAGATGATGAACGAGAACTAGGAGCTCCAGGTCTGCCCCTGGTTACTGAAGCTGGCCTGTCAGATAGAGAAGTCCTCAGATTTGGTGGAGCGTCTAATGAGTAACCAGGCATGTCTGAAGGATTCCAGGGTCTTGGCTTGACAGTCGGGGAACTGGCACGTGGTGGTACAGGATTTCTTGATGCAGTAAGAGTAGATGATTTTGCTACTGAGGAAGAAGATAGTAACCTGGCAATAGGATTGAATACAAATCAAAATATTTTACTTCCATTGCTGTTTTGAGTTCAAATATCATGATACAAATTCAATTAATTTGAATATGAATCTGAGTGTGTGTGTGTGTTGATTCGGATATATTCCGAACACGGAACCAAATAGACAGGAACCAAATAGAGATGTATTCAATGCAAATAATCTTTGTTCAAATATCAAATACGGAGTACCATGTAATATTTAATATTTTATATATGCATGCACACACATAAATAGACACACACGCATAAGATTTCAAGCGGGTTTAGTCCCTCATATATACACTAATACCTAATTTGGTTGTCAGCCACATAATTTGAGTCTAACTTAGTTCTCATACCAAAATAAGAAGATTATTTTCATCAATGCAACCACACTCATGACACACGATTAGTCTTCAACTGTGTAATACAAATCCAATTTAGTCATTAGCGAACAAAAATCTCATAATTGGAATAAAATATGAATGCCAGCAAAATTGAGTCTAAATTGCATACTCGAGGATCACTTGATTTATTTAGAAAAGCAAGGAACCAATTGAGAAATATTACAAAGTTGAGGGACTAAATTGGTTGTTAACTATCAAACAATCAAGTATGAGAATTTCAAATAGGAATAGTAGAATCAAATCAAATTATATTTGAACAACATGATTGAATCTAATATGAATTGCTTTTTAGAATAGAATACTATGTGAAATATAAAAACCATCTGGCCTAAACAATAATCAAATTTGAATCAAATGTATGGGTTATATTGGATTTGTTTGTTTACGCCTATACCTGGCAGGAGCAGATGTCATCATTGCAGGTGATGTCACTGGCCGGCGGGTGGGAGTTGATGCCCGGGATGTTGACTTTGGTCCGGGAATAGAAGGCCTTGAAGTTGGAGTTGAGGGTCTGGCTGTAGACCTGGAATTAGGTGTTGAGGATCTTGGAGGAACTGCAGTTTTGGTTGAGGTTGGCACTGAACGTGAAGTAGGTGTTGCGGACCTTGATGGTTTAGATGATGGTAAGCTGGTCGCTGATGATTTTGATGCTGCTAAGTTTGAAATTCCTTTAGATGACATATTTGTTGTTGGCCTAGCTACCGAAGTCATTGTGGATCTGGAATTGGCTAATGTGGGTCGTCCAGTCGGAGTTGAAGATCTGGATCCACCTGAAGAAGAGGATCTTCTAAGACCTGAATATGAACTATTTCCTGGAGACAATGCTGGCTGTCTGGATGTTAAATTGCTTCTGGCAGGGGGCGGCTCAGTTGGATTGGCTAGCTACATACATAAAAACAAACGTTTTGTGAAAATAATAAAGGATGCTTCTTTCAACCCTACAGAAAACTAATGGCAAATTCACAAACAGTAGAATGAACTATGAGAGATAAAAGTGGAGGAGCCATGGAGCCATAAAACCCTCCAAACTTCTCATTACTAAAGTGGGGGAGTCGTGTTTTTTCTTAATTTGTAAATTTTCTTAAAATGGTTTTACATTACTATTGTTATGTATGCCAGCAATAATGCAGTTTCTATTCAAACAAAATTATATAGAATACTCCGTACAATATACTAAGATATACTCTACGATACTGCCCATATTCCAAGATTTTCATGTCGGTCTAGCTATAAAAAATCATGTAATAATGGACATTACAACAGATCATCTAAACTATCATCACTGTATCATGATATTTTGATGTGTGCGGAAATAAATACGGAGTAATAATCAACAATGATGACAGTTTTGAAATTTTCACCTCATTATTCCTTGCTATGAAAGGTTGCACCATGTAGACCCTTAGGCGTAAAACAAAGCCGCTATTTTTTTCATGAATTCGGAATTTTAAAAAAGGTTATAATTTTTTTTACGAAAAATTGCGCTAAACATATTATGCCACCGACTCACAAGTCACAACTAGTTGGGTTCCTAAAATATTTTTTACTCTTCACTCCATTGAAACAAACATAATATTTTTAACCATCTCCATATTTAGCCTATACCCATCCTTCACACCTCCCCCCCCCCAAAGAAAAGAAAAGAAAAAGCTCCCTTCTTTTGAACCAAACAGATGATCTTTCATGTTTCTCTTATATGAATGGAAATTTTGGATGTCAAAGGATAAAGTTAATAGTTTGGATCCATTACCCTAAGATTCAATGGTACTTTCACCTTTAGAAGAATGCATTGGCTTACAAAATTCACTTAATCACATGCAATGTAGCCAACAAAAGATTTCAAAAGGGAAACTAAAAATGGAGTGCGTAATGAATGAATATCTTACTCTAGATTTAAGAGCAGTTGGGCGTGCTTTTGGACTGCCCAGATTATTTGCTACTCTACTATGTGAATTCATCTCCAATGATGGAAAAAGAGGAGTGCCTGGAGGTGTTAAAAGCCTGAAAGACACACAAACAACACCATACAATAGCAAGTAGTGTTATTATACTAGTTGCAACAAATTACAACTGTCTGCTCTGAAGTGAATAAAAAATTAGTTGTACAACATATGCTTAACCTCAGAAATCATGCATACTATTCAATTTTTTCAGTTCATGAAACATGTCTTTTCCATGCAATAAATATATCTTCTCCTAAATACTGCAACTGCAAGTATCTGTAAAATCAATTCTTACATGTTCATGGGCAAATAATTAACCAAGCAAGTTTCCTTAAATTGGAATGCCAAAAAAAGTTTAATTGGTAACAGTTACATGTAGAGAACTAGAGAAGAGCTGAAATGAAGGTGAGCCAGGAACGTATTAGGAGTGCGGCATATGAGTTTCAAATTTCAATCATCCAAGAGATATGTAAGCAAGCCAACCAAAATAAATGCAATCATTGAACACTTGGCAAATAATGTGGAAAAACTAACTACTTACCAGTCATAGTCATTCTTATCGTTTTCTGAATTGAGAAAATCATCCGAAACAGTCTTACGAGCAGGAGCAGCTGATGAAATATTGTAAACAGGAGAACTACCTGTGGTTGGTCCTGCGAGAGTGAAACATAAAAAAATAATCCTAGCTACCTGAGCCACATTCAACAAAAAAAACTGAATACTTCATCACCAAAAGTCATAAATTTTTAGGAAGATGACAAAATAACTTCAGCAGCAATAATGGCAAACTAAAGTCTAAACTAAGCATTAATTTAAGGAAATTAAGATTCATCCCCCAAGTTACATTGTTTCCAAACATGAAAAATGGCAAGACATCCACCAATTAATGCTACAAGACCCTAGTGCATCACTGAGTCAAAAACATAATCTTAAAGGATAAAAGGTTGCACATCTTTCATACCGAGTGGAGCATCGAACTCTTCCGATTCCTGGAGAAGCAGAAGATCATGGCGCTCCTTCTCACGGCGCCGCATTTCGAGGAACAATCCAAGCTCCTCGTCCTTTTCTTTCATTATCGAGCTCCTCAGACTCCCCATTCTGTGCTTCCCCAGTGACTCTTCAGCACGAAAGCTCCTATTCATCGCCGCATACACAAACCCTACACCATCCAAATTGTCCAAACACCCTCAAATCCACATTACAAACCCTAGATTTCTCTGTTAACCACGCGCAACAGAACCAGCGGCGTCGTTTCTCCTCGCAAGCTCGAATTGAACAGCCACAGATCGGAAATCCAGCTTTTCGCCTTCTTCTTCTTGCTCTACAAATGCCTTCACGCAGAAACCCTCGAAAGCCTTCGTCCGTGGAACAAGATGGAAAGCTAGAAACTTGGAGCGTTTGAGGAGATGTAGAGGCTCACCATAGCTGCATTGTCATCGCTAATGAACAAAGCTCAGGTGAGTTTAGGAAGGAGAGATAAAATGGAGGAGAAGCTTTGAGTGCTTAGCAGAGTTTGAAGAGATAAAGAGAAGAGTAGCCCGTGGGATGAAGTTACAGTATTTATTTACGGACTTATTTTAAATCGAACTTTTTTCTTCTTTTTTAAAAAAAAACAAAAAACTAAATAACGGATGCCGTATTAATTACGTGCCGTTTTTCAAATGTTTGTCTTATTGAAGTAACTCCACAGTCCACAAAGAAAAAATAAGAAAGGTGTTTGGAAGTACTCATTTTTGGCGAGTACTCCCTGGTTTGTAAAATAGTCAATAGTACTCTTTCTATTTTCAAAATTTATTTTTAAATTTTTTGTAGATTCAAAATGCTACACCCGTGCCCCTTATGATCATTTTCTGACCATTTTTCCAGTGAAAAAAATGGAGCATTGGTGTATACTTTCAAGACCATAGGGGGTACTAGTGCTGATTTTTTATTTCTCGCTTATTTTTTGTTTTATCCAATTTTTATTTATTTGTTTCATTTATAATGCGTATGTACGTCTCAAATTAACAATTTTTATTTTTTTCGAAAAAAACTAAACTTTTTTTTAGAACTCCAAAAAATGAGGAATAAAATAAGAAAAAAATAATACAAAAATAAAAATGAATATCCTTTTGCACATCTCAATTCTAAAGACTTTATAGGCGCGTTCAAAAATTATTTTTTGTATAAGACTCTTTTTTACGTATTTTAATTCTTTTCATTTCGTTTTTCCATATTTTTATTTTTTTATTCGGGGTTTTCTTTTTGAACTTTCTACAAAATTATTCTAAGTAACAAAAAGTGAAAATGTTTAAATTAAGATAGATGTAATGTGTGTTAACTTATTTTATTTTTATTTCAAACACAAAGAATTTTAAAAATTTTAAAATATTATAAAAAATTGAAAGGAAATTTATTTTTAAAAAAATTCTAGGAAAAAGAGATAGAAAATATTTATAAAAACACAAATAATAAACGTAAAATAAGAAATGAGCATGAGTGCCCCCTATAGTTTAAAAATTATGCCCCAATATCTCCTCTTCGCCAGAAAATGACCGAAAAATGATCAGAAGAGGTGTGAGTACAACGTTTTGAAAACATATTGAGTATTGATATCAATTTCCTAAACCCCGGGTGGCACCAAAGCTATTTAGCCACTCATTTTTTTCAAAAAATGATTACTCCTTCCTAAAACATTTGTCTAATTTTAACTCTTATAGTCGGTTATGATTGATCTTTGAAGTATATATTTCTTACATCTCATATCTTTCATTTTATTTATCTAATTCATAAGGAAAAAGATTTGAAAATGACACGTAATTCATACAATAAAGTCAAATAATTTTGAGTCTAATAAAAAATTTGAATCAATATCTAATATAAATTTTATTTAATTAATGGAATCTATGAAATTGATTTTTCTAGCATTAATGGTTTTTCTATGAAAAATAGTTTTTTCTAGTTGGAATTTATACAAGAAAAGAAAACTTTTTTAATAATGGAATTTTCTAGTTGAAATAAATTTAAAATAAAATTATTTTAAAATAGAGTTATTTAATCTTAAAGAAATTTATTACAATATTCCATTGTTTTAATTAATGGAATTTTTTCTTCTTCTCATATTAATTTCTTCATTTCGAAGGCTCCCGTGAGGGGATAAATCGAAGAAGAAGTCAGCATCTTCTAGCACTAGGGCCCCAGTGAAATTTGGTGAGCTTCTGACGCACATTAACTTGTTCAATAAATTTGAAACAAAAAAACTCTGAATTAAACAAAGGGTCGCCTCTGAAGTTGTCGTAGCGGAGAAAAAGAGGCTAGAGATCGTGACCCAAAAACTAGAGTTAGAAGAATTTTGAATCATGAGTACGGACATCGAAAATCTTCGAACAAATGGCGTTAAGAAAAATAATAGGCAAAATTACGAGGCAATGACTTGGAGGCGGTAACTTTTATCGTACTTTTACATATTTTATTGTACTTATTTATTTCAATTGTATTAACTTTAACTTTAACTTTATATACATCAACTTTATTTAATGAAATATTTTATTGAACTTTATACACATCAACATTATGGCTTAGTGGGTCGTCGAAGACATTATGTCGAAGGTGTTGGATATTTATTATGAATGGAAGAAGAGGGTTTTCAAGTTCTAGGAAATCTAGAAAATTTTTCAAAGGAGCCCCAAGTTCAGCATCAAGGTTGAGCCAGGAGGATTGAGACCGAAGCATTCCAACTCTAAAAGACTGGTTCGTACTCAACGAGCAAGGGTGGACATTCCATTGACCTCAACGCCGCCACAAGTGACGACTTCCCCCATGGATCGGGCGACGAATCCAGTGGTCAAAGATGCCCGATCATGTCAAAGGCGGCAAAGAAGTGAAAGGGAAAGACCAAGACAACGACTCCTAGCATGTCCCTCCCACCCAAAAACCCGGCTTTGGACATAATGAATAAAAACCTTGCTAGCATGAGCGTCGCTCTTCACTGCACAAACCTTGGCAAACAGATGACAATGGATATGTCGAGGATGATAGAGTTGGAGTTGAAGTACCACCACGACATAATGGTGGCGATCCATGTCAGGATAAATATGACATCTCAATAGTATTTATTTTTTAAGTCTTTATTTTTCAAGCAGTTCTTTTATTTTTTTTTAATTTTTGTAATTTTAATTTTAAGCAAGTTGAAATTCTTCTTTTATTTATGTAGTACAGTATTTTTTGATTTAATATTTTATTCGCTTATTTTTAATTTTTCAATTGTTACAATCTTTTTATTTTTTTAAATAAATTATTCATCTCTTTATTCTTAAAATAAAATTTTGTATGAAATTTATATAAGTTTTAAATTAAAAAATAATGAATATTATAAAAAAAACAGAGAGACCAATTTTACAACATTGCATAATTTTAAAACGAAACAGGAAATTAGTGAAAGAAATATTTGTACTAAATAGCACTAAAACTTAAGTCATTTCCCGAAATAGCACTTAAACTGTTTTATTCCCTAAATAACACTTAATAATGTCCAGTGATGACGAATATTTGTTTGAATAATGACTAATGCATAATGACTAAAAGTGCTACATTGGAAAAAAAACACATGTTGTAGTGCTATTTAGAGAAAGTCATTATGTTTTAAAGATATTTAAGTAAATTCCTAGTGAAATGGTGATGCACAGCAAATGGTGCGGGGTGGATTTAGTAGTAAAAGCTCTAAGGTGCGCACTGCAAAGCCCATCCCTGTCATCGCCGGAATCACCTTCGCCGGCTTCGTAGAATTTGAGCCAGTTCATCTTTATACTTACAATCCAATCCGAAATAAATACATACAGCCTTTTTAGCTATCTCTCCCGACTGCATCTGAGAAGCGGGTCGAAACTCTGAACCCTAGTCGGAACCGAATTTGGGATGGCGGAAAGCGTCGTCGTCGATTATGGGTCCCGAAACAGCTCCTGTGGATACTGTAAATCGGGCGGTCCCACCAGTGCATCTCACGGTATGTTTGTTTTTTGCCTGCCATGGATTCTTACTTCTGTTGTTATCTTCCTCGCGCTATAATCGCGATCATTTGGTTAGCTTGATTGCTATGGAGGCTCTCAAGGCGTTAAAGTTGTGGGATTTAGTGGGTTTGTTAAGATTATCGTGATCGTGGACTTTTATTGGGCTGGGAAATGAAATGATTATGATACTGATTGTAACTTCAAATGAAATTTTGTCTCTTGATGATCTTCCTGCAATCTCATGCTTTTAAAATTTTCAGGATTAATGGCTATCAGACTGAGTGTTGATGACTATCAAGGTTGGTTACCACACACTGCAATTTGGCTTCTGCTGTGTGAACATGGTTATTTGGCTTAGTTTCATTGAGAAATGGGAGCGAACTATCCTTCTTTTAAAGTTTGATTTTGTTCTCATATTTGTCTTGGATGCACTATATTTTTTACAGCTCTTCTTGATAGGGGGTGGAGAAGGTCGGGATGTTATTTGTATAAGCCTGAGATGGAAAGCACATGCTGCCCATCTTATACCATACGCATCAAAGCTGATGATTTTGTTCCATCCAAAGAGCAATGCCGAGTAACGAAACGGATGGAAAGGTGTATTCTGTATTTCTGTTCCTCCACCGACTCAAGATCATGATCCTTTTCAAATCATTTGATGAAATTGATTTCTCCTCCCAAGTATACTTAGTACTCCATACTAGGAAAACAGTTTGCTTTAGAAGAATCTTCAAGTGTTTTCCCTTGTTGGTCAAGTGATGAATTGTCTTGTGTGTTTAGTGTTACTAGGATGTGTGACCACTTGGAAAGTCCTCAGGCGTTTATCCCCATCACCTTGTAGTGGAGGTAAGACGTGCGTACATCTTGCCTCCGCAATCCCTACTTCTTCTTGGGATTATTTTGGGCATGTTGGTTTGGTTTGGGTAGTTCAATTTATGTTAGATCCTTCTTTTAATTCATAAAAATTATTACCACCATCCAAAAGAAGAGAGACACACTTGACAACGGTATATCGTTTAAATATTTTTAAAAATAGTCTTTGTTTTTTTAAAATACAGGTTTTTTTTATAAATCTCTATCTTAAAAACACAGGGGCAAGACTACGTGCATCGTGACCCCAAACAAAGTTGATAGTATAGCAGATTGTTGTTGTTGAGGAACTAATATGATGCATATTTGCTCTTAGGTTTTTGGAAGGCATATTAAGTAAACAACCACAAGAGTTAATGGACTCTCCAACTACATCTGAAGCAAAGGAGCCTCATCCAAATGTCGGCGATGAAAAAAACCATTCTGAGCAGTTTATGCATTATCTGTCGGAACAGATTGACAATTCTGTTCAAACATGTGTTCAACATGGTGAGATTCCCTCCGATGTCCAGTTACCAAAAGCATCCATTAAAAAAGTTTCACCAGCTACTAAAAGAAAATTATCTGCTCAAGGAGTTGAAGAAGAACTCTTATTTACCAGCAACATCTCTTTCCAGATTGTTTCTGTTTTAAGGAGAACCAAAAATGATTCTGGATCAGGAAGTGAATGTTCTGCCCAACTGACTGCAAATGATGTTGCAGAAAAACTATCTAACCGTTTAAATCAATTGAAACTGTCATATGGTTTTGCTACTAAAGCTTGCAATGGTCACATTAATTTCTTTTCTTCCAGCAAATGTTTAAATCCGGTCAATGCTCCAGAAAGTGAGAAAGCCAAAAGGTGTACTAAAAGAGGGTATCTAGAGATCAAAAGACACAGACTTGAAATTCGTCTCAAGCGGTCTACTTTTGATCCTGAAGAATATTCATTGTACAGAAGATACCAACTCAGAGTGCATAATGACGAACCAGACAAGGTCACAGAGAGTTCTTACAGAAGATTCTTGGTTGATACACCCTTAGTTTTTGTTCCTCCTACAGCTGACAGAAGTGTTCCTCTTTGTGGGTTTGGATCATTCCATCAGCAATATTTGATTGATGGGCAGCTGGTTGCTGTTGGTGTGATAGATATCCTTCCAAAGTGCTTGTCTAGTAAATATTTATTTTGGGATCCCGATTTCGCCTTCTTGTCTCTGGGTAAGTACTCAGCCCAGCAAGAGATTAGGTGGGTTAAAGAGAATCAAGTGCATTGCCCGAGTCTCCAGTATTATTATCTTGGCTATTACATCCATTCCTGCCACAAAATGAGATATAAAGCTGCTTACAGACCGTCTGAGCTTCTCTGCCCTCTTCGCTATACGTAAGCTTTGTGTGTGTGTGTGTGTGTTTGGGTTGGGGGGGGGGGGGGGGNAAAATACTTCATTCACATATATTTTGGTACTAAAATTTGCACTTTAGAAATAGGCTTTAGCGGAACCTGGGTGCATGGGTTGGCCCTACATACACCCGTATACACACCTACTCACCCACACTCACACACACAACGTTTAAAAATGAGTCATGTTTTTTCAATGTGCAGCTTTTAATTCCGATGGAGTACAGTTGATAAAATCAAGAATCATACTTATATTTTAAAAATTTATTTCTTATTTTAACTAAATTAATCACGTGTAACTAATTTCTGGCTCCTTTTTTAAGTTCTCAGCAAGTTACATCAAATCTTGCTTCCTTTGGTCAAATGTGGCTCTCTTTTAAAACAAAATAAGTGTGAATCACAACACTTTATTTTTATTTTATTTTTTTAGTTTGGGTGGAGGGAGGGATGTGTGTGTGTGTGTCCATAGAATTTGAAAATATTCAATAATCTATCCTCAATTATGATCATGCTCTTTCCTAGGTGGGTTCCATATGAGATTGTAAAACCACTGCTAGATAGAAAACCCTGTGCAGTTCTTTCTGATTATACCACCCAAGATGGAGGGCCATTGCCACCCAGTCTGCTTGAAAGTAATGCTGAGGAACAATGTGATGATCAAGTTCCGGAGGGATCAAATGATGTATTTGTCGAGGCAGATGAGGAAATGGCTGAATTTGAGTTTGAAGACAGCGATGATGACAGAGAGGACCAAAGCACAAGTGGTACGGTGTCGGGGGATATAGAAGATGGAGATGTTGGTGGCATTTTAGTTGGGCTAAACGGGACTCTTTTGAGGTTCGAGGTAAATAACCATTGGTCTCTTAACTTAAATCACACTTATTTATTCCAGACCCACCAAATCATTCAAAAGTTCCTTTCTTTTATGGGGTCAAACTAGATTAAGATTTCTTATTCTGAATAATTATTTGTTTTTTTTGTTTTGAATATGATTAAATCTCTCTTGCTTTTAAAGGTTCTACAACAAGCATTTGGTCCCAAATCAAGGCAGCGTATGACAGCGCATTTGCAAAAATACAGGAGAATTGTGGGAAGAGAGCTCTCTGAGAAGATGGTTTACTCATTGGACTGATGATATATGTCAATAGTCTCCCAAAATATGTTGTAGGCATTTTACACTCCTCACCCCATCTCTATTCATTAGGGTAGTGTTAAGGTCAGTGTCCTCTAGCCTCTGACCCTTGGCACTAGGCATCCCTTAAGTGGTAGCTTAGAGCCGAGCGTCTAATCTGGTAGACGGCTAATCGGAGCCTAGTACCTAAGTTGGAATTCTAAGAACCTTTGGATTTATGGGATTTGTTTGGTTTTGTCTCTTGTTGTCTCTAAAGTGAGAAGTGTTTCTGGGATGTCCAAAAAGAGAGAATGAAGTTTGTCGGACGAAGAGATTACAACTCTTCAGTTGTACAATTGTATTTTTGTTTCATTTGCTTTAGCAACAGAGGCTCTATTTGGTAGTCAAAATTGTCTCTCAAATGCTTGGGAGTTTTAATCTTTGTCATTATAGTAAAAAAATTGTTAACAGACGATCTCCTTCTAGTTACTGGACATTTTTTTTCTTTCTTATCTAACTTGGGCACGTTCAGTAGAGTTGAATGAAATAATACTGAAGTGATTGAAATGTACGGAGTAATTTTGAACTGAATTGAACAATACTGAATCGAATGCTTACATATGAACACATTTGAAGCATTTATTTAAGGAAATTACAGGGGACATTACTTCAGTTATAAGAACAAGAACATGACATATGGCATGGAATGTACAAATTTCAGTTATAAGAACAAGTACGTGACATATGGTATAGAATGTACAAATTGGGGATACAACATGTTTTTGAGAGGGCAATCCATCATCATCATCACACATAATCTGAGCCAATTCCTTCATGACTTGCCCCGTAGCTGCTTTCGTTCGGACCAACTATCTTAAACCTGTTCAGTTTACAACTTTACAACATTACGTTCTATAATACTCCGTATCTATTTAGAGATTGTTCTCTTCAAATTATTATTATTGTTTATCACTTATTCTTATTGGAATTAGATCAGAAATAGTTTCAAATATAACTAGAATCATATCAGAACTCATTCCAATCATGTTAGAACCAATCAGACCAGAAGAAGAGAACAAGCCCTTAGTCTAGGTTCTAGACTTTGAGTTACCATGATCTTGAATCCATTTAAAACTAAGACGAAGAGAACAAAGTCTTAGGTAGAGTAGTGACAAGGAAATATTAATAGGACTCACCGTTCAAGGACTGATTTCCCTTCTTTGTACTTCTGGTCCTTCTCGTGAGCAATCTCCTAAAAAAATGAACGCATCAGTTTCTCACAACAGCAGCACGTGGCACATATGGAACGGTTAGAATGAAGTTTACATATTTCCAGCCAACAATGGATCCACATTGGACGCAAAAAATGTCTGCAACGGTGTGCAATCCGGTCATCATCTTCCTCTCCTCATGGGGGCCACAGGTGACATTCACTCTGTCAGTTCCAAGAACACATTGACTTGTCAATATGGCTCCGCTTAACAGCTAAAATGGCTTAAGGATCGTTTGGTACTGCTTATTTGAAAAGAAAGCATTTCTTTACAACAGCCAAACAAGTCAACAAATAGCTACTTGTTATGCTAATAGTTAATATATGCCACACTGTTGGCTACCAAACAGATCCTTATTCAGCTTTTTGTGCTGCTAATATATGAGACTCACACGTTACTGAAGAGATAAGCCTTCCCGTGCTTGCAATGGAAAGACTGAATGAAAAAAGAAGAGTAAAAAAGTCTGAGACAAGTTTGATAGTTGGATGTCACATTTATTATGGTCAATAATAATGCTCGTAATAGAATCTAGTCGCATTTTCTTGGTTAGAAATGGCATCACTAGAGAAAACCTTTGAACAATTGTAACATTCATGCATCACCTGTTTTCACTTAAATGTCATTTCTAGGCACCAAAACACAACTAGACTCTATCTCCAAAAGATTTTAAAACCACATGACTGCAGAAGATTATTAATGATGATGTGCCAAGGAAAACTAGGATGACTTCAAACAATGCCAACAAACTTTGGAAAACTATAGGCTATGTTCCAAAGGTCTATTGAACTACTCTATTCTTAGATCTCACGATATTCTTATCTAATGTCATACCCTCAGTAAGATCCTTAAGTCATAAGTCTAGTTTGATCAACTCCTAACTCTTCTTAGGTCTACCCTTACCCCTTCTCACACTCACCATCACAAGCCTCTCGTATATGCTCACTAGGATGATTTCATTTTTTATTTAACAATTCACTAACATCGTAGAAACCAAAGATGGTAGTTCTCAATTTATAAAACATCATGGAATGTAAAAATAAGCCATTAGAATCAAACAGTACACTTTCAATCAATCAATGTTGTAAAAACTTCAAGGTGCAAGTGCACATCAAAACGCAAGAGACACATCCACTTCTTAGACAGAGTCACACAATCAAAATATTATGCAGAGAGGCTAATATATGATAACAAGAGGATTTGCTCTGTCGTTGAGCAAAACTTCACTTGAACAAGAAACATTGATAAATCAAACCAAGATGAAGATCAAAGTAGAAATTTTCAAGAACACTCTTGTCCTTAGAGAGAGAACACAGAAGAGAGAAGTAAACGCAGTAACACCCGTGGGTAAAATCCAAGATGGTAGGGTTATAGATTCATGATTGATTTCAGAGTATATTCAATTACATCAAACATTAATCAGGCTCCACAGAGTTAACAAATATGGCCGTGGCTGGTTTAGAAAGAAGAGAAACCACAGCAAAAAACAATACCCCAAGAACAGGAGGGTTTTCAATAAAATTCTGCTTAATATATGAGTGAAAGACATGATTATCCTAAATACTAAAAAGGAAAAAACGTTAGCAGGACAAAATCATTGAGGAGAATCATAGAAGAAAGGGGGGCGATGAAGTAACCTTGGAGACGATGTGGTGAGAAAGAGCGAGAGGGGTTGCACAGTGCTTGCATCTATACATCTCTCCTTCCAGTGCTGTAACAAACACCCTCCCCATTTTCTCGATCTCCAGAAGAAGATGAAGATGATGAAGAAGAAGATCGGAGTGTTATGGTTTGATTCCGATCAATCACTCGCAACTGAATATGTAATCGGATTTGGGGGCCAGAAGGAGATAGTTGGATTGACGGTTGGAATTGGGAGGCGTGAACCTGAAAAAATGAATAAAGGAGAGCCCACGAGAAGCATACACATCAAACTTTCAAGATAAAATTTCAGTTCGGATTTAGATGTTAATTGGCACTGCTAATTTTAAATCTACATATTTTATACTATCAAACACTTGAATTGAAATTGTTTTTCCCAAATTCAATTTTAAAGTTTGATTTTCGTGTAACAAACGGAGCCTCAAATTTAGATCGTATTTAGTGGTTCAAGTCAGTTTGAGACATTTTTTGTCATGTAAACACTATATGAAAAGATATATTTCGAGACAAAAAACAGAAGGGAAAATTATGGGATGAAAATAATATATACTTCCTTCTTTTTTCATTTGTCCACACAACAACATTAATAATTTGGTTGAAACCCACTAAAGTAGAAATGAAGAATGTGTGCACGCGCATAACTTGTCGCTACTTGAAATTAAAATAGAGAGGTTGTTTCAAAGATCGAGACCCCAAAGTCAAGCTGCACATATAAAAGATCACATGAGATGCATATAAAAAGATCACATACACGAGATACATATAAAAAAGAAAGTACAGATAAAACACAAAACAGGCTAAAGCAAAAAACAAACTAGAGTTAACATAAAAAAAAGAGCAATGCTAGGGGTACACCAAAAGTGTACCCCAAATGTACACCACACTCTTCTCCACCACTCATTTTTATTTAATTTTTATTTATTTATTTTTTTTTGATTTTCTTGCCCAATTATGTGGGCAAGGAGGGGGTGGGGGACAAATGGGGTACACCTTCAGTGTACCCCTAGCATTTTTCTAGAAAAAATAAAGTAATAAGAGGCTACCAAACATACAAGGTATGCAAATCAACAACTCAACAAGTACAAAAAATACCTCAAGGCGAATGTCCAACTACTCTAATTTCAGCTCTCTTGGCGCATATCCAACTACTCTTAATAAGTGGAAGTAGTCCTAAATCATGTCTTATCACTTCTTTTTTATTCCTCCTAGGTCTACCTATTCTCCTACTTCCACTTATCAACGTAAGCTTCTCGCATCTTCGCACTAGAGAGTCAACATTCTATGCTTCACATGCCCAAATCCTTGCGAGTGTCGGTGATAAGTACAATATTCTCAAAAAAAATATGCACCACGCCACCACGAGACCTCTTCTAGAACTCTCTGCATTAAGATGTCAATTACCAGAGCGAACATGAAAGGGCTAAAGGCATACCCCTTGTGTAATCCCACCTCTACATGGAAAAACTCAAAGTCACCACAATAGTTATCATCCTAATTTTTGCTCCACGGTACGCATTTATATTCTTGACCGTGTGAATGTATACGATTGGAAAATCCACTTGACTCAAGACACCTCCCTTTATACCCTATCTTATTATGCCTACTCTAGGTCTTTAACATAAACCGTTAAATCAATATCTAAATATACATTAATCCTAATTAAAAATATCATTTCCTAAATGAAACCCTAATTATCGCATGTCCAAAAAAGCTCATTATACATTTGTTTTACAAGGGTGTACTTGAATTGAATTTAGATTTTAAAAGATTTTGATATATTGTTTAGAATCAATGGATTCTGTAAATTAAATAAATTAATTTAAGTTTATGCAGAGATAGCTAAATTTTAATGTATTCTATTAATATGATTTTTAGGATTATGTTTTCCTTTTTTCCTTTTTTTTCTTTTCTTTTCTTTTTTCTTTTTCCCTCTTTCCCCAAGAACCCCAACTGCTTCTTCCATCTCCGTTCTTTTCGTTTTTTCTTTTCTTTTCTTTTTTTCCTTCTTCCTCTCCAGGAACCCTAGCCGTTTTCTCTTCTTCGATCTCTGTCCTTTCCTCTGCCACTCTCTCTTCTTCAATCTTCGATCGTTGCTCCAAATAATTTGAGGGCCACTTCCATCGTTGCTCCACGTCGAGTTGTGCCGAGTCACTGATCCAAAAACCCATCTCAAGGTTGTCGGCATCGCTCCTACCATGAGAGCCTCATATTTCAACTGCTGCTGCTCAAAATAACTCCAATCCTACGTGACGATGAAGGAGATTAGGTGAAGATTGGGGCACGTGACAATCTTGCGTGACGATGAAGGATTCGCCGAGGAAGATTGGGGGCGAGACGATGAAGGAGACAACCCTGCGTGAAGTTGCAAAATCTTTGCATTTTTTGTCAGATTTTGGACTTATATTTTAATTTATACCAAAGCCCAAAATCCATCAAAATTTATATATTATACAAATCTTTTAAAATATATTGATTTTTGAATACCATTATATTTATAAAAATATATATTAAAATCTGAATTAAATACCTCCAGATTTTAAATGACTTTTTTAAATCTGAATTGAATACCCATAGACTTTTGAAATCCAAAAAAATTTACAAAATCCAGATTGAATACACCCTCTTAATTTCTTTTTCAGGTTGTGAATGAGACGCTTCAATTTGCTAATATAATCAGCGAAGTATTTAAGAGGGGTAATTTACCTAAATAGGACTAAAACATAATGAATTTCTCAATATAGGACCATATCTTTTTATTTTTCAATGTAGGACCATTGGTCATTATCTATTAGTCATTATTCAACTAAATGTCCATTATCACTTGGATATTATTCTTTTCACTAGACATTATTAAGTCCTATTTAGGAAATAAAAAAGTTTAAGTCCTACATTGGGAAATGACTTATGTGTTAATCCTATTTATTGGAAATTTCACATTTTAAGAGAGTCATAGCAGACCTTAAGATTAAAGGTATGCATGACATTTTTGCATTTTACACAAAATTTATTCAAGAAATAAATATATTTGCATAGAAAAATTTTCTTTCACGGGAAAAAAGATTGTCCATAGAATTTAGAATTGAGAATACATTACTCAGCTGGGCAATAAGTTATACTCCCTCCGTTCTACAAAACACTTTCGTTTTAATTTTTTGCACACCCCATAAAATACTTCTATCCCACCTAAAATGTCTAAAATACCCCTAAAACAACTTCTACCCGCAATAAACTACATAGTGGGGTATATTTTAGATATTTTAGGTGGGAGTAAAAGCGTTTAATGATGTGCGCAAAAATTTAGGGCAGAAGGGTTTTAAGGAACGGAGGGAGTAGTTGCTAAATCACATTAATAGATTGAATTCGATCAAGTCTATTTTCTGTAGGCATTTTATTGAGTCATTTGTTGGTTGTCAAGAAGATGCATTATACTCCCTCTGTCCTAAAAAGGATGTTACGATTATTATTTCAATCTCTCGATAACTTTTGTTTGTTTACTCATTTTGGTTGATCATTTGATAAAATCAAATATTTATGTTGCATCTTGTTTTACAAAACTTTTGTTGTACTTTTGAACAGGATAATTTTCACTTTTTATTTTCTCTACCAATTTGTAAATAAAATAATTTTAAGAGAGACAATATTTTGTATGTCGTTGGAAATATTATAATCTCTTGATTCCCAGGACATTGGGAACCAATGTCGTGGAATGACCCATGGGTGCTCCGGTGACCCGTTCGTAAAATTGACGTTTTCTACCCTTCCTAACCCCACCAATAAACTCCTCACCCCGTCCCGACCCGAACACCCCCCCTTCAATTACACCTCCAAGTTAATTTTGACTTGGAGTCAAGATTTGATGTGATATTGAATTGAGCCCTTATGTCATACTATGACACAGACTCTAATGTTTGTTCACAAAATCTACATCGGTTCTGTCAACCTCAATGAATTTTTTTATTATTAATGTACTTCTTAAAATTGGAGATAATTTAAAAAGGGAAAATTAAAACTAAAATTATGAGACGAGTTTTTTTAAATTTAATGTGTCATTTGGCAACAAAGCTACAAAAGGAGTAGGACAGCAGCAGGTTGTGAGACATAGATTCAACCAAACTAAAATCATGAAAAGAATAATGAAAGGACTAAAAGGCCCCTCCCTCATGGGACACAACTTATCCACATGCTCATCCAGGTTAGCATATGTGATATGACTATGCTTTGTCAAGGCATATATATGTTCAACCATGCTACACTTACACCAAAAAATACACCCCAAAGTTACACCAGAAGTATACTCTTAGGTTCACACTGATACAAAATGATGGTGCGTTTACAAAAATTTACACTACCATTTTGAGTCTGTGTGAACTATCACTCTAGAATTATACTGATATAAAATGAAGGTACAAACCTACAGTGTACAAATTGAGATACAAATATTGGGCAACAAATGGCTTAATCCATATATGCTTCATGTTTGGTACATAGCTGAGTTGTAAAATTGCTTGGCAGGGGATGATTGATGATGAATATATATGTGTTGGCAGAGGTGGATATATACCACTATTATTTTTTTGGCATAATAATAAAGGTTTTTTTATTGAACACTTTCTTTTGGGTAATGCTGGCTGGCCTTATTTCTTGGTTCCTATTCTTTCACAAATCCAGCCTTTTTAGTACTAGAAAAATCTAAAATGTGGGGTTTTGATTCTTTCTTGCATGCTGGCATCACCTGGATATATATATTCTTTTTTGTTTATCATATGATTCATATGTAATGAATACATGAAATGTTGCAAAATCGTATAGCTTAGATGACAAAGAAGAGGTGTACATAAAAAGAAAAGTTTTCTATAAACTTCTTGTCACTCCGTATTAGTTTAGTTTGGCCCGAACATAGTTTTGTCTTCTAAAATAAAAAAAATACATTTACAGTAATAATCATTTTGTATTAATTACTTGAAGTGTTTAAAAATAAGCTGTACATGTTGGCAAGGTAAATGGTTGGCTGAGTGATGCATCTTCTTGTACATCTATCTTTCTTTCTTCATATACATATACACAATTGATGCACAAGCTCACATCACTTTCCACACACATGATTTTGTCACACTATATGATATTATCTCATTCTATTTACACATAAATGTACCACACAAAACACATTTTTGGTACCAATTTAGCCCTTTTGATCTCCCTTTGATATGAACCTGCAAAAGTAAGTAAGCAAGTCTGGTTGACTACATCATTCGAAACGAAAAATCGTTTGTAAATTAACAAAACCAAACCACACTGAATCGATTAAGACTATGCATAATCTTAACTTATTACCTTAAATTGGAGGGACGAAAAAACCGGCGCGGACTTGGTCCAACGCCCCTTCAAGAGAAGTGGAGTTTTGTTTTGCTACTTCTTTGTTCTTTCTTGGAACACTTTAGGGTACCTTGAAAATCCCTTTTGGCAAGCTGAGACCTGTAATAATGTGATTCCCAATTAAGCAACATATTTAGAACATACAATGAAAAATGCCACAATTCCTAGTACCATGGAAAATATTTTGATATACTATTTTACTTATTTTTACCTTCATATGTAAGTAATTAAAGAGTCTAATATGGAGTAAAAAGAAGTTTATAGTGGAACTTTCTCATTAGGAATTACTGAGTCGAAATATAATCCAAATTTTTCACTCATTTAAACAATCAAATCCTCTAGAAGACATTACTGTGTATTTTTTACATTTCCAAAGATGTAAAAAAGTCTTTATGAAAATTTCAAAGTTGGGGGTTTTGACTTTTGACTTAAAAAACACTGTTCACTGTCCCTATTTTTCAACTTGTTGATGATTGACCAATGGAAATAGCCAATGCCCCCTTCATTTCTTCGTGTCAATTATTATTCGCACATGGAGACATGAATTACATTTCAACCAAAATTAAAGAATCCGGACTAATATTCCTTTAAAAATAAAATTTATAATTTTTCACTTTTATTTTCAAGAATAGAATACATGAATTCTAACAATCTTCATTTTAATTAAATACCATACAAAAAACAAATTTCAATTTCTAAAATGTTGTTCGGATTTCTATAGAAGAAAGAAATTTTTTTGTTACATTAAGTTTTATTTTTTTTAAATTTATTATGTTTAAAGATTGTTTTCTCTATAAAATTCTCACATTTACTCCCTCGGTCCCCCTATATTTGTCCACTTTCATTTTTACACACTATCCAATGCACTTCTTTAATCCATTTTATCATGTAATTTGTATATTAGAAAATTATAAAAATTATATATTAATAATCTATATGTTAAGACAAATCAAACAAGATCACACGTGACTATATTTAGGCTTACACATTGAGAGAATTTAATGAGTCAAAGTGCTTAGATGAACAGTTCCAAAAGTCAAATGTGGACAAATACAGGGGACGGAGGGAGTATTAATCAATGTATTAATCAAATATGGAATCTAAATTTGGCAATGTATAAAGAACATAAGTACTCCTATAATAAATTGGAAATTGTGACATAGACTAGTGTGCGCACATGAGAGAGTGTTGCAAAATTGCAAGTGGAAAAGAAATGGGGCAGGAGACGGAGTCATAGGTTCATATGTTTCGGTCGTTATGTGTGTTTTTTTTTGTTATATGTTTATTTGTCCGTATTTATTAATGAGTAACAAATATTTTGTTTTAATATGGGATTTCAATTTTTTAAGACTAAAATCTTACTCCCTTCGTCCCAAATTATAATGTTTGTTTACTATTCACAGGGTCAAGCTTCATTCACTCTCTTTCTCTATTTTCGTTAGTAATTTGATAAAATAAAATATTATTGTCACTACTAGTTTTGTAGATCTTTTGATGTAATTTTTTAATATGTAATTTTTATTTTTTAATTATATACCATTTGTCATATAAAATGGTTTGAAAATAATTTCAGTCAAACATCGTAAACCGAAACAGGCGTTATAAAATGGGACGGAGGTAGTATTTTTTTGGAATTTTAAAAAAAATTACTCCCTCTATAATTTATAAAAAAAATTTATAGTCGAACATCATAATTTTTTGGAAATAATTACTCCCTCTATACATAGATCTTTTCAGATACTATTCACATAGTCAAACTTAAATTACTTTATTTGCTTATTTTAACTAAAAATTTTCATAAAATAAATTGTATTGTCATATCTAGTTTTGTAGAATTTTTCATATATTTTTTTAATATGTAATTTTTTTTTTAAATTTTATCATTACAATTAAACAAATTAAATTGAAAATAAAAAGATTTGTAGCGTGCCATAGGGTAATATAAATAAATAAAAAAAGGATTCCGGAAGATTCTAAAAATAATGGGAAATTGACTTACAGCTTCAATGTCGATCTTGTAAACAAGAAGCTTTCTCCTCTCCCTGCAACTGATCCTATACGCCACCGCCGCGTGCGCCACCGCTAAGGAAAACGAGCACAAAAACAGACCCATCTCCATCGCCCGTCCGTACCCTCCGCCGCCGCCGTTCACGGCGGCACTCCATCTCCCGCCGCTGCCGAACACATACGGCGCCTTCAGCGACAGGAACACCAGCGAGGAAACAGAGCACGCCGTCGCGGTCCCCAGATATGGGCCCCTCGACAACCTCGGACCGTCGCACAAGCTGTAAACAACTGTTGCCGCCGCAGCATTCGCCGGAAATCAAAGAAACGCCGCCACACCCGTCAGTACAATTTCTCAATTTATGCTTAAAAATTTTGAAATCGCAAAAATCCCAAATCCAAAAATCAAATACTTACACAAGATGACGGCGGAGCGGAGGACGGAGACGACGGGAATGTCGACGAGGGAAGAGCGGAAGTCGTAACTTCGGAGAAGGGAAGGCAGGGAGGGGAGGGGGGTCGCCGGAGAAAGCGAGGCGGAGAACAGCGCCGACGGTAAGAGGGCGTCGGCGATGACAAGAACCACCGGAGCGGACAAAATCAGGAGGGAAATGAGCATAGAGAGCAAGAAAAAGACAATCTTTACCCATCTCACCACTCTGTTTTCATCTTTGGAGAATCCCATTTTAATTCAGCTTTATGATGATTTTCTGGGGTCTCTGACAATTTTTTAAATTAATTTTGAGGGAAATCGTCTCCGGCGGCGTATATATATATAAACAAAATGAATGGTTGGTGGGAGAGATTGAAGGAAAAATGGAGTGGGGAAGATGGGAGGAAGAAGCTAAATATACTGCTCTCTGTCTGAAAGAAGAATGAAGAAGAAGAAGAAAGGTCAAATATGCTGACGTGTAGGCCCCCCCTCTCTCTCTTTGTGCGTCTAATGCGTGGACTTTAACCGGACGAGTAACCATATTAACCTCTTGAGGTTATGCGAGAAGCCTAGAAGTTCATTTGTTGGACGTGCAAGAGTGATGACAAAGTGCACGAAAAAGGTCCGTGTTAATTCGAGGGGCTAATCTATTTAGACACTTTCGACCAGGGTGGGGACCAAGGTGTTACATGTTGTACCTCGTGTTTTTTCTTTCACGCTTGTTTTGTGATAGTCAATGAGCAATAAGTTATTTATTATACCTAATCGAATATTTCATGAATGAATGAAACATATTGATATTGATGGACTCAACATTCGTGAATGTGTCTAATGTCATAGAAATATGCAACTAGCTGACTTGTTTAGTGAAACTTTTGCAAACCTAATTTTTTACTCCGTACTTTCTATTATTCAAATTGGACATTCGTGATCCTCATGCATTAACTTGAGGGTAGTGTTGGAAAATTAACTTGTTAGTGGTCTTTAACTATGTTATTGGATGAGCTTGCGGGTTTGATCTTCTGTTGTATATACTTTGCGTTGGCCCCTATTCTTTCATGTTGAAATTTTATGTTGGAAAAATCTAAAAAGGTATGTTGTTGGAAGAAACTAGAAAGTGTTGGAAAAAACTTGAAGAAGTTTGAAAAATATTTAAAGAACTAAAATGTTAAAAACTCACTCAACTAAATGATCACTTAAATAAATATGTAAAGATACTACAATTTTTGATAAAAAAGAATGCATCCTTGTTTGTGTTTGAGATGATATGTTAAAAATTTAGATATGTATTATTATTGTATATTCATCATATATAAATAACTTTTTTAAATTGTTATTGGAAGAAACTAGAAAAATTTTAAAAAAGTTGAAAGTTAATTTTTCAAATAAAAAGAATAGAGTCTTAATGATCTAAATTAAACAATTTGGTTTTTTCATATTTACATCATCTTAATGCCCCTAACTTTTTCTTATATACCCTAAAATTAGAAATATGGCATTCTTCAAATGTGTGGAGCTAGACACTTGCATCGGCTCATTCCCAAGTGCTGGCATTGTTGGTCAATTATGTCCTATAAAGAAGTAATATATGTACTTGAATATGACAAAAAAGTAATTCCGGTACCTTTAATTTTTTGGTAATAACTCCTAAGTTCTACATTATTTAAAACGTGTTTCGGGATATCATTAATTTTCTAGTGAGAACTCTCACGATCCACATTATTCAAAATATATTTTAGAGTCCTTAAAATTTTTGATATTATACTTTGAGGGTATATTTTCTCAATTTAAGAGTTATATTAAAAGTTCTTTTACTTTGTCCAATTGAAGAATTTTTATTTAAATTCAATGAAATAATGATTATCAATATAAAATTTAGCATTTGTTAAAGTAACAAACTTCCATTCATAACGGCCAAAAAGACAAGACATACCCTCAAAGTACATTACCACAAATTTTGAAGACTCTTGAAGTATATTTTAGATAATATGGGATCAGATAATTTTTATCAGAAAATCAAGAGTACCTTAGGAGTATATTTAATTTAAAAAATATGCGGGACGGGACCTAAGAGTTAGAGCAGTGGTACTACTCATAACGCCGAGCGGCGTTATTGGCATCATAGTTTTGACGCAATTTGAAGGCGTGATATCGCCTCTTTCTTTCTATAAGTTAAATTAATTTTTTTTTAAAATTCAACACAAATACAAATTTCTCTATCATCTTTTTTTAATAAATTATTATTCAACTATATTTTTTATTTTTCCATGAATGTAATTTTTTATTTAATGAATGTTATTTTTTTTATTTAATGAATGTAGTTTTTTATAATGAATGTAATTTTTTTATTTAATGAATGTGATTTTTTTATTTAATGAATGTAATTTTTTATAATGAATACAATTTTTTAATGAACTATTCTCGTTTCAATTCTTTTAAATAATTAAATATTTAAATTTAATGAATTTAATTTTAGAAGATGTGTATTTAAAATGTAAAAATGAAGGTTTGAAGCCTCGGAGTTTCAAACTCATTTCCAGTGAAATTTTGAGTTAAGTTAAAGCTGACGTAGCAGAGAGAGAAGGTTTGATGTCCCGGTTTGAAGCCCCGGGGCTTCATGGGTATTTCCAGTGCCCTTACTATCTAAAAGTAAAGAATACCTTAGTAATTTTCCGTGAATATGATCATATGAAATCTTTCTGACTGAATCCTAGTTAGTTAATACGCGTATAATACACGTATTATACTTACGTACGTATAATACGTGTATTATACTCACGTATCCGTATGATTTTCAAAAATAATTTAAAATACATGTATATTTGATACTATATGTATAATTACGTATAGTACGCATGAATTGAATATTTTATTATAAATTTTTTTTGTACAACAACAAACATTAATTTGTTTCAAAAATATTTAAACAAAAATACGAGTAATACTTCATATCAATTATACATACAATACTCAATCAATTTGAAAAATTATATATTCCCTCCGTCTCATTTTACATTGCGTGTATTGAATTTGCGGCATATTTAAGGAAGTGAAAAAATATTGTAGATTTTCAAAAAATGTCCTTACTTTTTTAGGAGGGTGACGATGAATGAGAAGACAATGTGGAGAGGACTGGCTTATTTTATGGATAGTTTATGTATTTTACCCTTAAAAGTTTAGGGAGTACTATCTACATTCTACAAAGAATTTTACACTCTTTTGTCACGTTCAAAAAAAGACTTCACTCTTTCTTTTTTTGCATGTCTCAAAAATTCTTTTTTTTTCAACAAGGAGGGGGTGACGCCGAGCTAGTAGCCTCGAGAAGTGGTGGTAGCGTGTCGCGTAATGACCCTCATCATATCGTCAGTACTCAAGTTTTCCAACTCTGCATCTGCAGTAGGGACTACAAACGTTCTTCATGAAATATCTTGAAAAGCCCCAAGGTTAGCAAGACGATCCGCAACCTTATTTTGTTCTTGCAAGATGGCTCTAAAGCTGATTTTATGAAATCTGTCTGTCCAACTCTTTATCGCAAGATGGCTTTAAATTCATTTTCTTTTAAGAAAAGAATAAGTAACTCACAACTCTTATTTGTTTTTTCTAAATATATTCAAACTATAAAGTTTTTATTTTTAATATTTTTTAAAACTATGTACGTGAAAGTCAAATAAGAATATTTTTTTCAAATGACGGGAGTATAGATTTTTTTAAAATAGATATTTTAAATAAATAGAGATTCTAATTTGAAAAAATCTATTGTAAATATTCCATTTAAAAATTGTTTGTATTTTGTTTATATGACGTATATATGATAATATATATAAACATATAATAAGACGTATTTTAAAAAAAGAAAATGTTTAAAACACATACGTATCCGTATCCGTATGCAAAACGATTAATATGCATAGTAAGCCGTATTTTATAAAATTCTAACGTATTATACACGAACGTACGTATTTACGTATTATACGTTTGCCGTATATTACTAACTATGGACGGAATATAGTGAATTAAGAATATGACTATATGAAATCTTTCGGACTGAATATAGTGAATTAACTATAGAAGTAAATCTGAGGCTAATTCTAAAAAAATACTAATAAGATTTAAACGCGTGAAAAAGAGACTACTGTACTTTTCTTTTGGACAAAAATCTCACCGAACTATTTAATTGTTATATTTTCAAATTTTTTATGGCCTGTTTGAGAGTATGAATTTGGATTTGAAACCAAGATTTAATCCAGATATCATGTTTGGCAATACTAAGAATTTGGATTTAAATCTGATCCAAATTCCACCTATTCAAATCTAACCAATTACAATTACATCACCATAAATTAAATAAAAGTTATATTAGATATTCATACAAAAATAATTTTATTAGGTTCATTTTATAAAATATTTTCAAAACATTATTTTATCTAATTAATATATAATATATTTTATTTAATTATATGTCATAAGTTAAAAATAATTGACAGAAAAAAAACAAAACTGGAAAAATACTCATGAAGACCGTGTAAGTTATGGGTCAAACATAGAAACGTGATTAATTATTTGGCCAACGTTTGTCACACCTTATTATTACATTATTTTGGCGGCTGCGTCTAACTCAATGCCTTCTTGTCTTCTTCACTTTTACAGTTTACCCTCTTTGCCGATGGTGAAAATGACAAAGGAGTTTACCATCATTGTTGTCTTCATCACAACAACGATGAAAGACGATCCTGCGTAACGGTAGTGATCATAAAAATAATCACCGTTTCGAAGTGACGATAGAAAATTTGTGGGTTATAATAAGAATTATGCTCCCCCGTTTCGATTTATTATTTTCATTTGGATGGATGTGCAAAATTCTATCTGTTTTATAATGATTATATTTAAAAATAGGTACAGAAAAATTACATTATTCGTAATTACATCAACAGTTTTACAAAACAAAAGACAATAATAATATTTTATTTCATCATACAATCAATAAAAACATGCATACAAATATAAGTTATCGAAACTGTGTAATAGTCATCGAAAAGATAAATTTGTAACGGAGAGTATTATACAAGTATTTAATATATAAAGAAACTTTAGTAAATTAACATTTTAATAATTTAATTACTCTCTATTATTGAGCAATTAAAAAGCAATCCTCGCCCTAAATTTTGATTTTTATTTTGGATTAAGCTATGTGTACCTCAACATTTATACCCCAATTTCTACCCCGCAGGTTTGCACTAACATTTTATGTTGGTGTAAAACTAATTTTTGTTAATGCACCAACATTTGTGTTCGTGTAAATTTTTGTTAACGTACCAACACTTGTATCGGTGTAAACCATCAAAATGTTTGTGCAAAAC